TGAAGTTGATCCAAATGATACTCACCATTCAAAACTTATCTCCTCGATGCACGTAAAAGGAAGTAAGGGGTTTTCTATGAAGGTTGAACTACATTTTCGCTCTATCTCTTAACTCACCTGTAAGTATGATCCTATTTCCAAGTTATTTCAAAAACATGATCCTGGCAAGTGGGATGAAGAATGCCAATGTGCTTTTAAAAAAGATTAAACAACACTTGTCAAATTTGTCAATGTTGGTACCATCATACACAAATCGTTGATTTTGTATCTCATAGTGCATAAGTATTCTATAGGATGCATTTGGGGCAATGGAATGAAACAAGCAAGAAAGAGCAAGCCATTTATTATTTAAGTAAAAAGTTCACTAAGTATTCTCAATTTAAAAAAAAAAATATTGTGCATTAGCATGAATAGCCCACAAGCTCAGGCAATATATGCTACATCACACGACTTGGCTAATAGCAAGATCAGGCCTTTTTAAGTACATCTTTGAAAAACCATCATTGTTGAAGAGGTTAGCGAAATGGCAAGTCATGCTTTCTAAATACAATATTATATATGTTATACAAAAGGCAATTAAAGAAAATATAATAGTTGAATTTTTTGTAAAACATGCAACTAATAAAGATGAGCTTATGAAGTTTAACTTTCTTGATGAAGATTTAATGACTATCTCCCAAACCAATAGAAAAACCATGGAAAATGTTATTTGATAGAGATCGAATGCTCAGAGGGATGAAATTGGAGTAATTTTGATATCCTTTTATGGAAATTACTATCCAAGCATCGTGATATTGGTTTTAATTACACCAATAATGTGACAGAATATGATAAATATGTAATGGGCTTGCAAATGAAAGTTGAATAAGGGATTGGAATGTTAAAAGCATATGGGGACTTAGTTTTAGGAATCTATTAGCTATGAGGTGAATGGGAAACAAGAGATTCAAAGTTGGTATAATACCAAACATATGTGGTAAATTTGATCAAGTCATTTGAAAGGGTCCAATTTTGGCACGTACATCAAATAGATAATAAAATGGTTGATGCCCTAGCTACATTAGTTGCAATGTTCAAGGTGAACAACAAAATAAAGATTAAATCCATCCAGTCGAACATACAAGGATCATCGACATATGATTCAAGTGTTGAAGAAAAGGTTGGTGGTTTGCTTTGGTATTACAACATCATGCAATATGTCAAGCACCAGTAATACCCAAAATATGCATAAAAAAATGATAAATGAATTATCAAAAAATGACAAAAAAATTATCCAATGTATGTAGCTCCATCTTTAAATCTTCATCATTTACACAATTCCATTAAGTTCATCGAGTCCAAGCCATTAAGGCAATTATGCAAGTAGCAAGAATCAAGAAGCAAGAAAGAAAATTGTTTGTAGACAGCTATTTTGTCCAAGATAATTCGATCGTTATCGATTTTGTGCTTGATTTGGGCATCCCAAATTAAATTGATTCAAATATATTATTTGGATTAGGTTCATTATGATCTTAGATTGCATCGGCTTAAGCCTAACCCAATTTCATTATAAAGTCAATTTTGAATTAAACCATTTGGACTTGAAAGCCCAAAGTTAGTATTAAAGCCCAAAGTCAATATTGACACCTAAATTCGATTTTGATTAATTAAAGACAAAAATAAAATAAAAAAAATGATGAATAATTTTAAAAAATTCACAAAAATAAAATAAATTTTAAAAAATACAAAAAAAGGGTAAGAGTCAGTTGCCATAGCAGTAGCCTTCCCTCATTTTCCCTTTTCCTTAAATACATTTTTCCTTCCCTTCACTTTGCCAAGTCATTTCCAACTTTCCATTTTTCACCCCATTTTTTTTTTAACCACCACTCTTAACACGATTTGATCAAAAGCTTTAAACCTTAAAACAATGGCAATAAACTCCTCTGCCCAATGTTCTACTGCAACTGTTCAAATTTCACCTAAGTATATAACAGAAGGGAAAATAATTTTCATAAGGTGGATTTTGATCCTAGGTTGGCATTATAAAAGAGCCATTCACAGAAAAAAAAAAAAAGGAAAAAATAAACTCACTAAAATTTAGTGCCTAACCTACTACCATTATTAAAAACTAATCGTGATCACCTTATTTCACAACCACCTTTTAACCAAAAATCCAATCCTAAAACCAACCTCTACCGCCCTTCACTACCTAAAGCCAACCCACCCAAACAAGCCCAACCAAAATTATCTATAACCACAAAAACCCAAACAATAATTGACTAAACCAACAAACCCCAAACAAAAAACTAAGCAACCATTGTCATAGCCCACAAAAAACCACAACGAACACAAAAAAAATAAAAAAAACCAAATCTCATTTTCAAGGAACAACAAAAAGAAAAAAAAATTATACACGTGAAATTAGGGCTTTTAGTTTTAGAGGTTCTAAAGCTGGGATTTTTTATGTTTAGGTAGCCTAAAATAAGGTGAGAGGTAGTCAACAGAGCAGCAAGAAAAGATTTTTCATGTTGTTCAAGCCATGATTTTTTTGCGCAAATTTGAGGAAATCTACAAGGTTTTTGAAAAATCTAATCTAGTAAGGTGAAAAAAGGGTTCAAGTGGAGTTTTTGGGAAAAATTTTGGTCAATTTCGACACCAATGATCAATGATCAATAGCAAATGATGCGACAGCAGATGGTAACCAACAGCTTGAATTTTGGAAAGAAAATTTTTTTAGAGCTTTAGAATTTTTTTTGTGAAAGAAAGGTTAAAATGAATTAAGAAAAAATATTTTTATAGTAAAAAAAAGTCAAAACTACATTGTTTTAGGGAAGATATCTACGCGCCAACTTAACACCGTAAGCACTTGACCTTAATCTACGTTAACTCCAAAGCTTAAACCAATCCAAATCGAATCAGTGCCAAATCATCAATGAATTGATCCAACTTGACTTGAATAAACAAAAACCATTCTAGATCATAAAAAATTGTGTTGAACCATTAAACTGTCCTCTGGACCATTAGTAGACCGATTTTGGGTAATTTTTTTTGTTTTTTTAGTTTTCAAATTATTTAAATTAGTATTAATGCATATTTATGTTTTAAATCCCTAGAATAAATATACTTTTTTTATAAATAAGAAAATTGATGTTTAAAAATTAGTAAATTAAGAAATATGTGTATGAAAAAATATAAAATAACAATAATAATAATAATAATAATAATAATAATAATAATAATAACAATAATGAAAATCTCTAATGATGAGATATTAAGGAAGTCTAAGAAATGATTTTTTAAAATCTTTAGATAAATATATTTTTCTAAAAATACTACCAGTATAATTAAGTATTTAAAAAAATATTTAATAGAAAATATTTTTATTTATTTGTATAAAATAATAATATTAAAAATAAATAATAAATAATAAAAAATGTGAAAGGAAAAATTAATCCTTTTTAGTAATAAGTTATATTTAATAATGTATGAATATTATTTGTAGTAATTAGTAATTTTTTTCATTTTAAAAAAATAGGAAAACAAAAAGAATTCGAAAATGAGATTCTAGAAAAGTCCGAGTAGTAATTCCTAAAAGGTTTGTAGGTGAGAAAATTCTTCTAAAATGCTACCAAAGTATTAGAATGTCTAGAAAAACTAAAAAAAAAAAGATTTTCTTTTTTTTTATTTTAAAAAACGAAAATGAAAATAAAACAATTAAGTAATTAAATCAAAGATAGAAAAATAACATAAATAACGAATAAAAAGGAATTAAGCTGGATAAGATATAATATAAGGAGAAATAAGATGACTATGATAAAAGAAAAAAAAAAAAAAACCTTTTTGCGCGCATATCATACTTCATCATCTACATTCCATACAATAATCTTAAAAGTAATGTGAATTTCTGATGATGAGATTTTAGAAGAGTCTAAGTAGTAATTATGAAGAAATCTTTGGATGAAAATTTTTTTTACAATATTGTCGAAGTATTAGAATATTTAGAATGATTTTCGATACAAAAAATTCTTTTTTACTTTTCTTTGCTTAAAAATGAATTTTTTATACAATGCAATAATATTACAAATTAATTCATGAGCATCATATTTCACACATAAACACCAATTTCGAAAATAAATGAAAATCTTTGAGGATGAGATCGTAAAAAAGTTCAAGTAGTAATTTTTTAAGAATCTCTAAGTGAAAATATTTTTGTAAAATACTATCAAAGTATTAGAGCATTTGGAATAATTTTAAATAAAGATTTTTACTTACCTTTTATTTATTAAAAAGATAACAAGAGAATTTTTATAAAAAGAAAATATTATTTGGTTTGTATCTTTTTATTATTTATGTTATAAATATAAATTTTACAGATAAATATGACCCGTCGAAGATGAAATTTTTTAGAAATTCAAATAGTAATTCCAAAAAAATCCCTAAATGAGAAAATTCCTTCAAAAATTGCTAAAGTATTAAAGTATTTTTAAAAAATTTTCATTTCACAAGGTTTTTATTTATTTTTGAGTAATAGATTTTAAAAAAAGATTTTTGTTACAATAAAAAATTAAGAAAATTATTTTTTTAATATAAAAATAAAACTACTTTTATCAATGTTATATCGATGTTAAGGGATAATACGTAGCTAATTAATATTATTTTTAAAATAAATGCTATGAGATATTTATTTTTCCTTATATATTGTTCTCTCGAGCTGTAGTTAATTGATGATACGTAGTTAATTGATACCATTCATTTTGATGTTTATTTTTTCATATCCATTTTAAAAATGATATCAATTAACTACGTATTATTCCTTTGATAAAAGTTAGTTGATACCATTCAAAAATCATCTTTTGAATAAATTTTAATTAATTTTAAAATTTTATTAAAAAAATAAATTTTTGTGTTAACTTCTCCAATTTTGATTTGATTTTTAAAATTTGTTTAGCAAGTCTACGAAACCATTACGTCATTGTTGAATACAATTGCCCATTAAAGAGATCAATATCCCATTATTCGATTCTCAAGCAAAAGAAAGATAGTTAATCAGGATGACTAGTACATTTTTTCTCAGAAACTGATACAATAACTATAGGCTGCAACTACTTGATTGAAGCTTTCAATATGCATTCCGCTGTACATCGAAAACAAAAAGATACAAGCATCAGATGATCCCATTAGATTAATGTTCAAAAGCTTAAAACACCTTCTTGCCCAACTTGTTGCTGAACCAATAATACTAGGCAGTTTTATCTCCATTTTGCTCAACTTGATTTAGTTCTTTCAAAGTCTCAATTACTGGCTGAAAAGCAGTCCTCAATGGAACAACGGATGTCATCCGCAGATGCTCTGCTTTACCCCTTTTTGGTTTGGTCAAAACGACTCTGAACAATTCTCCCACCAAAGCATGATTAGCATTTTTAGCTGCATAAACATCGGACAAGCCAAAAAATTAAAACAGAAATCGGCAAGAACAGAAACACTAATAAGAGTTCCCATGATGATAACTTGATAAATATGGTTTGAATCAGAAACCAAACAATAACTAATTAGTAATACCAATATGAAATGAGGTTTGAAAGTGACAGCGAACAGAGTCGTAAGAAAACAATCTGAACTGATTGCTACTTTAGCCTATGTTATGTTCATTAAGAACTAGAACAAAATTACTCATAAATTAGGAAGGCTTCAAGTTTTAAGCTTCCTGAATTGAAGAATTACATACCGATATCACAGTTCCAAGGATAAAAATTGTATGTGCATTGATTGCCAAGAAAATAAGGGAAAGTGAATGGAGTCCATAAGAAAATTTCACAAATCAACATCGTTACCGGCGTCAGGGTGCTGAGTTGCAAAGTCAAAGAATTGCTGAGCAGAACAACCAAAGATGACCCTAGCGTCCCTATCGAAGCATACAACAGTAATGACCCTAGTATCTGTTGCTATCGAGAACTGCCAAAACCCCACAGGAAAAAAAAACAAAAGAAATACATAGCGCTTAGCAGTAGTAAAAAATAAAATAAAACTGAAGCTTTAAAAGAAGTAAAAAGGCCTGAAATTGGAGATGACCCAGTTACAGAGAAGGCAAGACAAAAAACAAGGGGGGGGGGGGGCGAGGATTATTGAACATACAAGAAGGCGGAAGAGGCGTTTGAAGGGGTTGGGGCTGCCATTGCAGGTGTTGCAGAAAGTAGGAGAAGGGGTAGTGTTAGGGATAGGCGTTTCACACCTAAAGCAGGCTTTGTAACAAAAGCTGGATTGCTCCATTGCTAGCAGTGCAACTGTTATTGGTTTATCAATTTCCATTTTTCTTTCTGTTCTCCCTCTTTTTTGCTTTTCACGCCCACTTCAGTATTTCAACAACTCCGCTCCTTTCTTTGAGCCTAGGGTTTCTCGGCATTTTTTTAAAATAAAAAAAATAAGTGTACCGCTACTACTTGTTAGTACCTGAAGAGACGTCACATGAGTGTAGGTACAATTGAAAGGGAATCAGAGAAAGTAGCAAATGGAAAATGAGGCAAATTTTTTAATTTTTGTTTTTGTTTTTATTCATTTTCCTGTCAAATTTAGATTGAGCCTTTAATGTTGATTATGTTTTTCTTGGCCAAGCCATGTTATTGTTTTTAAAAAATAGTAGATAAGAAAGTTGGGCATAGCTCAGTCTATGACAAACTAGTAATGGAATAAAATGTTAGATATATCCAGCAAGGCGTATCATCAAAATAACTTTTTTAATACTATTCATAAAGAAAGAAAGAAAATAAAAAGGAATTACTACTAACAAAATCCAGAATGAAAATAAGAGGTTTTCAGCAACTAGATAATTTGATGATAGGGCTATATACAGGAGTTAAATAATAATAACAAAAAAAAAAAAAAAGTTGCAAAGAATCGCACAAACACCTAAATTTCTCAACTTTGGTTATTGATATTTTACCTATTTTATTAATTAGTTAATGATTGTTTGAGCGTGCCAATGCAATGACTTTGTCGAAGAAAAATACTCTTTCTAAACTATTTACATGATTCTGATTAATCTAGACCTCAAGCCTTGTCCTGCTCGATAATCCCATTCCAAATCATGTAAATAGCTTCTGCTCTTCACAATTTCAGTCTATTGCTTTTCTTTGCTCTTCCAGTTTTGGTATCGGCTCAAACTGCAAGTATCAGTTTAGGATCATTTCTTGTTGACTCTGAGGACTCTTCTCCATGGCATTCACCTTCTAAGGAATTTGCATTTAGATTTCATCGCATTGGTGATCAAAATCTCTTTCCGCTTGCCGCATGGTTTGATGCCATACCGGATTGAACCAGTATGCAAATGAAGGTAAGCCAACCCCGGAAGAATCAAAACTTGAGCTTGGCATTGATGGTCAATTCACTCTTACTACTCCACAAGACAAAGAAATCTGGAAACCAATTCTATGGTAGATAAGGCCGCTTATGCTGCCATGCCCAACACCGGGAATTTCATCTTTGCAGCTAATGATTCTAACCATATTTGGGAAAGTTTCAAGAATCCAACGGACGCCATTCTGCCAACTCAAATAATGGAGCTTTTGGGAGTGCTATCTTCCCGAAGAACAGAAAACAGCTATGACAAGGGGAGGTTCCAGCTCCGCTTGCTTCCAGACGGCAACCTTGTGCTCAATCCCATTGCCCTGCTAACAGAGAAAGCCTATGATGCTTATTATATCAGTATGCGCTAATGACATGAATTCTGGTTTTCAATGAATCAGGTTACCCTTTTGTAGTTCGGAGGAATGGAAACATTAAAAACCTCACGAAGGTCAATTTCCTCACCCCCAATTACATGGCAACACTTGATGTTTATGTTGTTTTCACACAATATGCCCACCCTAAGTCACCAACAAATAGTAACTTATTATCAAGTGGAGATTGGCCAAAAATAATAGTAACAAGTAACAAATAACAAATAGAGCGACAGAATTGGCCTTCAATACCATGTTAGGCATACACAGTCCACACCAATTGGCAATAGGAGTTCCAACATAAACATAGAGCCATAAAATTCTCTAACCTAACCAACATAGGATAACACCAAATAACATTTCATGGGGAAATGAAATGATGAGCAAAAAGAAAAAAAAAAGGAAAAAAAAGATGGAAGGTACAATGTTACATATATTGTCAAATCATAAGGCATTTCTGTCTTGAAAAGTTTCAAAAGTTCTACTATTTGATGTCTCACAATTATGAGATTTTGAATGAAAGTTTAAACACTAGCAATTTAAAACAATACATAACAATGGACAAATCTAAAAATTCAAACTGAGAGAGAGAGAGAGAGAATTCAATTACACCTTTGTTATTTATAGAGAAACCAAACAATGAAATTATTTTTATTCACATAATTTAGTATAAAGAGTAATGAATCTAAAAAATTAATAAATAAAGTCCTTTGTCCTGACCTCCTGGGAAAGCACACTACACAATGTTACCAAATCTGACTCTACAGAGGAAAGAGTCAAGAGTGCAACTTTGGTTGCAAATGAGACATAATTCTTAAGGTAAAGCCATCTTCTCATCAACACAATAGTTATCGGAACAGAGAAAGTACAGCAAGACAAGAGTGGATTCCAACATAGATCCAATAAGAAAGGTCAATGAACGAAGATGAACTTATTCCTCGGGCTTTGAGAGTTATAAAGGTTTCAAGACCAGTATTCAAGTTCAGCTCTTACTTGTAGAAAGTCAAAGATCAAATCTTGACATTGAATGGGCCACATCACCATGAACCATTCACCCAAACACCCAACATACTTGAAATCCTCAGTTAATGCCAGCCCATTTTTAAAATGCCTGAACATGCTCGACCCTCTTACTTTGAGCCTCAGTTCTAGCCTTTGATGCTTTTAAGCTCCTATAAAGATTTTTATGGATCTTTTGATATTCACTCTTATACATCCATTTGTCAATATGCATGTTACACTCTTTCATATAACCAATGACCTCCTTCACTCTTTCAAAGTATCCACCTCGAAGAAAGTTCAGTAGCAAAAACTCGTACAGATCACTCCTCACATGTAAATTCCTGCTATCCAAGGTCCCCTTCATGTCATCCCATAGAATGGTAATGTCACAATACATTTCTAGTGAAGAATACCCATATACCAGCTATGCAAAAGTATGTTCAGCGGGTTGGATTTTTATGTCTTGCCTTCTTCAGTATATCTTCAGTGCATCCCCCATCATTTTAGCCTTGGAAAAGAAGTAAAAAGAAGAGTTCAATTCATAAATTATAGGAGATATTGCCTTCTGCCCTCACTTATTTCTTGAACAAGACACTCAGCCAGACTTGGTTAACAAAAAGAAGATGATTCTTTATGCAAAGAGAACTTCTACCTACATTTTCTGGCAATTTTTTGGAATAACAATCTTGTTGGACAAATTTACATCCAAACCAGCCTTCCTTATTTGTTTTAGCAGTACATTTACCTCCCCAGACTTATTTCTTTTATAATAGATTATCAGGAGTGCATATATGTACTAGCGCCCAAGGGATCACCAGAAGATTCCATGTCATCCACAATGTCATGAGCAATCTCCATCCAGCCTAATGAAATGTATGCGTCAATCACATCGGAAAAAAAACTTGATCCACCTAATGAACCTAACTCCCATTTTAAGCTAAGTAAAAACTTTGACAGCTCATTAATCTTCTCATGCCTCTTGTGTCCGTTAATGAGCTTGGCCAGAGGCCATGAAGAAGTTTCTTATCCCTATAAATAACAAGATGTGATTTACCTTCTGCTTTGGGAGCAGAACTTGTTTGCACCAGCTCAGGCACAATTTGTATCTTCAGTCCGTTCTTGAGATTTTGAGATCCAATCGGAACAAAACAAGGCCTCTGGCAATCCTTCCTAAGATCTCCAGTAGGATGAGACTCCCAAGATCTGTTCATGTCCAACACAAGTTGGGCAGCAACATCGATGTCATCAAACTTAAAATGCAGGCTTAACAAACACTCATAAAACTGCCTATAATGAGAAACAAAAGGCACTGGTGTAGGAGCAATATGATATTTAAATTTCTTCAACTCATCCCTCTGCCCATTCATTTCATGGATTTGAGCAATAATATTAATTGAGTGTGCATCAGCAACAACCCCAGTTTGAGACATCAATTCTATAATTTGTTGACTTTTGAGAGATGATGCAGATCTAACACATGCATCAAGCATAAGATTAAAGGTCATTGTATCAGGTCTCAGCAAGCTTGAGCAATGACTTTTCCCTGAACAAAATCTTATGTAATAGTCACAAATATGGACCGAGAGATTGGATGCTGTACATGTCCCAACCTCTGTCTTCACCATATGCAGAAACACCAACCATAGTACATTCATTGGGGGTAGTATCTCCTTTTCCAGCATCAACCTAAGAATCATTGATGATGGAATGGACATCTGGACTCTTGCTAAGGAAAGAACTAGCTTAGCCAAGATGTTAGGCTGAAGTTGATATGATTTATCTTGCAAGAATACCATAACCAAATCACAAGCTCTTTGTGGCGAATGATGGCTGGTCAAGTGGGACAGTTGAGCGATGAACCTACTAACAAGCAAAAGGTCAGGAAAACCATACAACCTTTTAAAATCATTGAAAGTTTCACATGCTTCATCCAGTTTGAGATCCTTCAAAGCATTTTCAAGCTTTGTCAACAAAACTGCACAGGAAGAACCTTCCCAACTTAGTCTTTCTAAACAGGTAACAGGATGAAAACAATCGAGGTCTGCATATCATATCAGATGCTTGGAACCAACCAAAACCTTTGCTAAGGAAAACCCTTGTGTCACGAGTTGAACTCAACCCCACAAGGAATTGCAAGAATGGCGACTAATGAAGCAAGGATTCGCCAGTAATTTCCTTGAAAAGTTTAGTGCCATTCAGATAAATGGTACTAAAGTGCAACCTGCACCAAACTTGGATTAATTTTAATTTCTTAATGCATAAGAAGCAAAACAAAAGCCCAATATCCACACATTCACAATGTATGAGTGGAGAAAGCATTACAAAGAGCAAGACTTGGAAGTTTCAAAACAAAGTTCCAGCTAATCCTCCACTGGCATGATTTTATAACATCCAAATATTTAAAAAGATATATGAGAAATGCAAGAAACAACAAGAAAAATTAGCCCTGCAGATTTTCAATTAATCCTTTGCTTGGTTGCAAGTGAAAAAAAAAAGTCAAATTTTAGAGCTACAATGCTCCATTACTTGAAAGTAAACAAACAAACTGTTACTTTCCATGTACGAATTGAACTCCATAAAAACTGGATAATCAAATGGCACAGAAAGAAAATAAAATAACTTTATAGCATAAATAAAAAAAAAAACCAAAGAGGATCATTTCATGCCTTGAGT